TACTTTAGGTTCATCACACTTCTGATACTTGATTCCTATCATAAACGGTTAACTTGTGCAAAAGTGAAGAAAAAAAAAATGTAAAATAGATTGACTTAATGAATAAGTGAGAGAAAATGTAATCTATCTAACACACAAAAGAAACTACACAATGGTTGAACTCCTTTGTTGTTTGTCATTAGTCTAGTTTTATGGACCGCAATAATATTTTCTAATTTAAAAATAAATTGGCAATAAATAGATTGACTCATGGATTCCCTAGATTTATTCGTTAATTTTCGAATAATCTCTAGTTTGGATTATGGAGAATAGATGATTTTGGTGTGTTTACCATTCGATGATGATAGGCTGAGAGAGTTGGTTTGCACGAGAGAGAACAGCATCGAGCTCATCAACATCGTTAATGGGTTCCATCTCCACAGTCTCGGGCCGTGATACGTTTGCCCAAAAGGCTTTTAATCTCCACTCTTTCTCCATTTGTGACCTCCCAAGCTTTTCATAATTGTAAACCTTCACACAAAAACCAAACTTTTTCTCCAAATTCAAACTCTCTTTCCTCCAAAATTGTTGTTTCTTGTTACTATGAGCTTGTCTCGTTAGCATTTGAGGGTTTGATGCTAGAGCTGCCATTTTTTTTTTCTTTCTTTTAAAAATTTTCAAAGAAGATTGTATGATGAGATATTTTAAAGTTTTTTCATATATGTCATAATAAAGATATTTTGTTTGGTTTTTGAGAGTTTTGAGAAGAGATGTGAGGAGATGGAGAGAGAGCTTATCCGTAAGATGAGTTGGAAATATTTCCAAGGATGAGCTTGCTAGTGGGGGCTACCTAATTTCTCTTTTGTTTTGAATGATTTACTATTTTTCTTGTTTCTAAATGATTTTTGAAACTCTAATGAAATCAAAAGTAAGTTTAGCTTTTTAAAGAACCAATTTATATAATCCCCAATTTATATACACAAAGTAAGTGAATGCACCATTTATACATATGGCTAAATAAACACATTTAGAAAATTCCATGTCCTTATTTATGATATTTTAAAGATTTCTTCTAACAATGATGAAATGTGAATTGAAGTAAGAAAAATGTGTGATGATGCGATGGTTTGAATTATCAATATGTCTATGCAAAGTAGAGACTTGTGAAATGCGTTTTAGTGTTATTGAAAAATAAAAAACATCTCAGTGTTTAGTCAGGGTTCTTCGTTGATGGAATCCAAAACACAAAACTCAACAATTTTTATATAATAAAGTTAAATAAATAAGAGCCAAACTTGTAATTTGATGCTTTCAAATCAGTCACTAGTCAGAGACACGGAAATGCCGACGCTATTTCTTTAGTTTTATTGTCCTCCATTTAATTATTAGGGTATTTAACTATTTATAGGTCGGTTATATATAAGTACTATGCCGCTACTTTTTAACATCTACGAATTATTTGTCACGCCTACTCATATTCAATAGAATCTGGGAAGATTAATCTTATGCCTTGGGCTCTATTGGGAAACACTTTTCGGCTTAGTTCCTCAATCAAAAAGCCAATGAAGATCTACAAGAATGGATACAAAGTCAATAAGTCATATGGCTTCACTCACATGAGAAATATAGATCCACGTCAACGAGTACGTACCTCAAGTTTGGCTTCTTCCAAATCTTCATACCTTTAAATGTAATGTGGATAAGGTTTGGAATATAAATCATCTTACGAATGGAACAGTTAGAGTTTGAGAGATAAACGCTTTAATAGGTAGTGTTGTGTGTTAGGAATCTATGTTACACAAATGTATCATTTGAATCTGATTGCAAAGATGCTACACAAGATATTACCAGCAATTTGTCGTGGGCATGCACTGTAAACTTATTGGGAAAAAAAAGCATTCAAAAACTTGGCAAAGTCTTTTGAACATTTTTCAGTGGATTTTATTTTATTAAGAGGTTGCAACAAAACAATGGATAGATTAAAACCAAAAAAAAAAAATAATAATAACAATGGATAGATTAGCTCAAAAGATTTATTCTTTTCTATTTGTTCTGAGATTAAGTAATATTTTACCGATATGATTACGACTTGTGATATTTTATTGATATCGGTAAAACCAAAAGTGTAATTGTTTTTGAATGATAAATGAATTTAAAGTTGAATTAAAAAGAAAAAAAAAAACAAATGGTAGCATATTAGTGGTTCTTGTTTATTCAAGATTTATCTTATTAGTCCATATATCATAAATCAAATCTCATCAAACGTGAAATTTAACCACTCTGCTAGTTGGACATTCTTAGATGTTTTAAATGGTAAAATATCCGACGAGAGATAGACTTTGATCTAAAATAACTTTTTTTTTAAAAAACAAAATGAGAATGTTTAAATTGATCTAAAATAACTTTGCGATAAGATTTGCAATAGAGCTACTGAGGAAAGATTAGAGAGTTGAAACAAGCAGAGGGAAGGGGTCCACACGTTAAGACTTTGATCGACGCAAATTGGGAATTTTTGTATATTTTTATTCCAAACGCAATATCATCAGCCTTCGATACATTTTCCTCTTTATTACCCAAACTTGCCACCTAACTTAACTAACTACTACGAAATTAAGATTAAGAAATTTATTCATCAGAAAATAAGTAAACTCATACAAAAAAATAAGAAGACTTGAAAGTCACAAATGAATTGGTGGCTCTTGTCAATATAACGGATGTTTCTCATCTACCCACGGTGCTCATTACATGAATATTCATAGTCTATAGATATGTACTAACGATTTATTTAAGACAATTTATAAGAGATTTAGAGAGATTTCATAAGAGCCACATGAGAGGTATGTCACAAGGCCCCACTAAATTACAGGGCTCACATTTATTTATTTATTTTTATAAATAAACTAGACTAAATAACAATTTTTATTTATTTGTTTAAGTTTACTTTAAGAATAGAGAAATTTGGTCAAATAACAGACAAAAAATTATATATTAAGTGAATACACATAATAGAGGATGGCTATGATATTTTTTATATATTGCAAAATAATACTGAAAATGCTCTGAAGGTGAGCGCGTGAAGTACAAGCAAAATCTGATGTAGAATTATTTAATATATCAGATTTATTAAAAAAGAATATTCTCTTGAGCGTTTTTCACAAAGAC